ACATATATAATAAATCCCACAATACAAAATGTTTTTTGCCATTAAGTGGTTAGCTGTCTTTCAAAATTATTAAAAGAGGGCTTCTCTGGTGGTGCAGTGGTTGAGAGTCCCCCTGCTGATGCAGGGGTGCGGGTTCGTGCCCTGGTACGGGAGGATCCCACGTGCCGCGGAGCGGCTGGGCCCGTGAGCCGTGGCCGCTGGGCCTGCGCGTCCGGAGCCTGTGCTCCACAATGGGAGAGGCCGCAGTGGTGAGAGGCCCGCATACCACAAAAAATTTAAAAAAAATTATTAAAAGAAAAGATAGTCTTTTATATTTACTGAAATATTTACCATTTCCAATGCACTTACTTTCTTCCTGAATGTTTGAATTTCTATCTAGTATTTTATCATTTCAACCTGCAGAACTTTCTTTAGCATTTCCTGTGATGCAAGTCTGTTTGTGGTAAGTGAAAAGTCTTTCTTATATCCTATATTTTTTAGTGATATTTTAACTAGACACAGAATTCTGGGTTCACAGGTTTATTTGTTTGTTTCTCTTTTTTCTCCAGCATTTTAAAGATATGATTCCACTGTCACCTGAATTCCATTGCTTGTGATGCAAAGTTGGCTGTCACTGGTACCACTGTACCCCTGTATGTAATGTATTTTTTTGCTCCAGTTGTTTAAAAATTTTTTTCTCTATCTTTGTTTTTCAGCAGTTTGGCTATAATATGGTCTGTTATTCATCCTGCTTGGGGTTTGCTGAGTTCCTTGGATCTGTGAGTTGGTATTCTTTAATAAAACTGGGGAAAATTCAGCCAAAAAGTAGAAACAATTCCGGTATCCATCAATTGATGAATGGGTAAATAAAATTTGCCATATACATACAATGGAATTATTTGGCAATAAAAATGAATGGAGCACTGATAACATACTACAACATGGATGAGCCTTGAAAACATGTAAGTGAAGGAAGGCAGTCCAAAGACAACATATGTGTTATTCTATTGATATGAATGTCTGGATAAGCAAATCTGTAGGGACAGAAAGTAGATCTGTGGTTATCTAGGGCTCATGGGGATAGGGGATGACAATGAAAGTGTGTGAGGTTTCTTTTTGGGGTGCTGAAATGGATTGTGCAAATGGCTGCATAACTCTGAATATGCTAGAAGCCACTGAATTGTATATCTTAAATGGTTGAATTTTATGGTATGAGAATAATATGTCAATAAAGGTGTTACAAAAAAGAAAAAAACAGAATCCAGGTCTCTAACTTGCAATTCTTGATTTTTTTATACTATGCTTACTATTTCACAATTTCTTTTTATTTATATTTATATGGTTTAAAATTTTATTTATTTAAATAAATTAAACAATTTTTACTTGCTCTATGTTTTTTCTTGGGTGCTTTTAATGAACATGATCAAAGTAATAACATAAAGATATATAGAGATGCACTTGGATTTTAAAATAACTGAATTCCTATAATTAAGTAAAATGAAGTCATCAAAATAGTAGTTTCCTTAAAACAAGGCCTTATAGCCATTGACTGTTCAACATCTATCATCTCATGTGATAATAAAAAAAGTCATGTAATTCTTTCACAACTCTGAGGTAGTCAGGGAAGGTGGTATTATCCCCACTTTTCAGACCAGGAAACTGAGGCTCAAAGAATAACACACATATTCTTAGCCCAAAGTAACACACATAGTTCACTTACCCAGGAATTTTAACTGTAAATCTCTCATTCTTTTACATTATGCCAAAGGAACCAACTCTCTCTCTCTTCTACTTTTTCTAACTCATTTTTTTTTTGTGTAAAATTTTTCTCCTTTTTCATTGACATGTTAAATACCAGGGGTCAAAAGTAGAGTCAAGAGGAAGTAGAAATATAATCACTTTTTAAAACTCTATTTCTGAGGAAATTGAGAATTGGGAGCACTATCCATTAGGGGCAAATTTATAGCACTGTTTTCTCCAAATAATTCTATTGTTATTTCCATTTAGATAAATCAACTTATGAGCAAAGAATAAATTTTACTATCTACTATATAAAATCTAATTGCGTTTGTTGGAAATGCATATGAATTAAAAGTCTCTGATGTGCTCTGTTCAGTTTATCGGGTCAGTAACTACTTTACTCCATATAGTTTTCTGTATTAAGGGTTTTGGTCTAATCTAAAAAATATTATGTACTTATTCATTAGTATGGACTGATAAAGTCTAAAGTATTATGTTACATATAACAGCCAATTTTAATGATCTATAAACATATTCCCTTGAAAGAAAAGTCACCAAAAGGGTGTAAGGTAAATTGATCTTGCCTTGAAAATTTGATTTATCTCCAATCAAAGACAAGGAGTATTTTTGGAAAGATCTCTATTTCTGGCAAATGATTTAAGGTACATCTCTATAGGTCTGTGATCCTCATAGCAGTTCCCACATTTATATCTCTACTCTAAGGCAGAGTGAGATAAATAACTATTACCTGAATTTCAGGAAATAAAAAACTAAGAAGGATTAAGAGGCACATATATTAAGTTTTTTACTCAAACCTTAAGTTTTAGAAACTGGGAGTTAGAAGACATGAGTGTTAGTTTTGATTCTGACACTTGCTTATCTGTATGATTTTGAGTAAGTCATTTTACCTCTAATCATTTTTTTCATCATCTTTATAATGAGGGTGAAAATACTTTTTTTTGGCCTCTTACTCCCCAAGCTTACTTTGAGGGTCAAATGACATAACATCTATAAAACTATAAAGCCCTATGCAAATATATATTAACAGATGCATACATGTATGTATGTATGTATATGTGTACACGTTTGAGTATATGTATGACTAATCTTTGATGGTCTAATTCACAAGCTACTCCACAAATATTTTAAGACACTGTTGAGTCAAAGATGAAGTCATAGTCTCTGACTTCTAGAAATTTCCAGTTGAGAGGGGAGATATACATTAAAAATAAATAATTATATAATAAAGGAATAAATAAGATAATAGAGGTATATATATCAAATTCTACTGGAGCCCACCAAAAAGGGAAACTATCCTACCTGAGGGAAAGGGACAGATGTCAGTCAGAGAGGAGGTAAGAACTGGGCTTAAAGGAACAGGTCCAATTGCTAGAATTTTATACAGATACATGGACCTCACAATAGAACACAAAGAGCCACGAGATCTATGTTACAATTGGCTCTGCCTTCAATAGTTAAAACTAGTACCTGACCTCTTTAGATCTCTCTTACCACAAGTCTAAATGAAAGGTTTCAATAAGATGAACTCATAAGTCCTTCCAGCTCTAAAATTATATGATTCTATGAGTCAAACTCAGATCACTGTACAAATACCAAGAAAGAGAATTCAGGAGGGTAATAAAATTGCCAGAACTATTAAAAAAGGAGTTTTTCTTGGGTGGACTTGGAGGGTATTTGTTTAATGAAATAAGTCAGACAGAGAAAGACAAATACTGTATACCACTTATATGCAGAATCTAAAAAATAAAACTAGTGAATATAATAAAAAAGAAAGAGACTTAAAGATAAGGGGAAAAAACTAGTGGGGAGAGGGAAGTGGAGAGGGGCAAGATAGAGCTGGGGGGACTAAGAGGTACAAACTACTATGTATAAAATAATTAAGCTACAAGGATATATTATATAACACAGGAATTATAGCCAATATTTTATAATAACTATAAATGGAGTATAACCTTTAAAAATTGTGTATTGCTACAGTGTACACCTGAAACTTACATAATATTTAAGAAAGCCCGCGTGCAGCAATGAAGACCCAACACAGCCAAAAATAAAGAAATTAAATAAAGAAATTAAAAAAAAAAAAAGGATCAAAACCCTAAATATACACAACTGAATTAGCTCCAGGAATGGTACTAAAGTAAAGCAACTATACTTCAATTTTTTAAAAAAATTTTTTGGCTGCGGCATGCGGGAACTTACTTCCCCAACCAGGGATTGAACCCACGCCCCCTGTAACGGAAGTGTAGAGTCTTAACCACTGGACCACCAGGTAAGTCCCACATACCTCAATTTTTTTAAAAAAGAAGTTCTTCCATTAACTACTTTTTTCCTGGAATTTAAAAGTCTGAGAATGATATCTATCCCTACCTAGAATAAGCTCTAGCGCAGTGAAGAGTGGTGACTGGAATGATATCAAGAAGCTGAGAACCAAACAATGCAGGTGGATAGCAAGAAGTGAAGCATTCAGTTCAGCAAAGATGTTGCTTAGACCAGAAAGAAAATAGTCAGTACATAGTAAGTCATACTGTTTATATTCCTATTTACCAAGAAAAGCTTGGAATAAAACTATAACCAGATATTAAAATGTATACTTCCATAAAATGAGGTAGCTGTTGTTTGAAGTTTTGCCTTGTTAGACCACATCTTTAAAAACTATTTTTCTAAAAAGTTCAGTTTAGGAATTCATAAAGAAAAGGATCAGGGACTTCCCTGTTGGCACAGTGGTTAAGAATCCACCTGCCAATGCAGGGTACATAGGCTCGAGCCCTGGTCAGGGAAGATCCCACATGCCGTGGAGCAACTAAGCCCGTGCACCACAACTACTGAGCCTGTGCTCTAGAGCCCACACACCACAACTACTGAACCCGCGTGCCACAACTACTGAAGCCCACACACCTAGAGCCCGTGCTCCGTAATGAGAGAAGCCACCGCAATGAGAAGCCTGTGCACCGCAACTAAGAGTAGCCCCCGCTCGTCACAACTAGAGAAAGCCCGCGCGCAGCAATGAAGACCCAACACAGCCAAAAATAAAGAAATTAAATAAAGAAATTTTTTTAAAAAAGGATCAAAACCCTAAATATACACAACTGAATTAGCTCCAGGGATGGTACTAAAGTGGGTAGTCAGGTAATTTAGTTCACCAGACATTTATTAAACTATGTTTAACAGTGCTAGTTGTTGTAAAACACATAATCTCAGTACTCAGGGGGTTCACTGACTTAATATTAAGATTTTAAGGAAGAAAGAACAGTAACTCTTACCCATCAATTATATTTTCAGGTGGGTGTTTTTCATCACTTGATGTAGCTAAAATCACTTCAGTCCCTTCAGAGCTCAAACAAACATCAATGTTTCTCATCTTAAAGTATTTAACCTGCAAGGAAAACAAAACAAAACAACAAAAGCAACCTTTTTATTCTCTGAATTTTATCTTGAGCAAAGGAAAAGAGAGAAAGCCTGTTGCCTAGCACAAAGCTTACCAACCAAATTATTCAACAAGTGGGAGGGACTCTTACATATTTACTTAGGTAAACTTCTGACCTCTCCCAGGGATAATCTGTGAGATATGAGTATTTGCACTCCTCTACTCCACAAAAGAAGTCCCTGACACCAACATAATTTTTCTGTTTCTAAAATTAAAACCCTCAACAATTATATGGAAACAGTTAATACGCTAGAGTGACATGACTTAGTAGGTAAGTTTTTAAAAAGTGTTTATATAGTTATAATTCAGAAATTTAAAAAAATGAAGAGTATAAAAACAGACGCTTTGTAACTATTTATCCATACACTAATCAATTGAAATAGCAAGCAATATTATTTAAATCTTAAAAAATACTTTATGATCGGTATTTTTTTTTTTGAGCAGAAATGTGAAATGAGAGAAGATAACTTTTCACTTATTTTTAAAGTCTAAATCAGTCACTTGGTTCATGAACTTAAACACATTTCTGTTGGAGAGTAATATTTTAAGTCTGATAAAAAGCATATGAAAAGATATTGTTGAGCTCTACTATGAACCCTGGAGGGTAAGACACAAGGAAGACCATAGAAGATTACATCAGAACTCACCCTTCTCCTTGATCTACTGGTGATAAGGCACAAACCAAAATATAGATGCAAAGTGATGGGGAAAGCTGTATCTATAAAGAATTAAAAGATGAAGAGTGTTTGGAAAAGGAAGAAAGGCTTCTAATACACCTCATAGCCTAGCCCCAGTCTAACTTAAAAAAAAAAAAACTATTTCAAATAAACAAACAAGGTAGAGCAAATATTACACTTACTAAACAGCTGTGTACTGACTTCCCAGATTTGATGTTAACATTTTTCCATAGGTACTTTTTTTTTTTAAGAAATAAGTAGCCCCTTACTGTCCTTATTCTCTTCCTTGCCCAGTGGTAACAGCTATTCTGAAATTGGTGAATAAACTTCCTATATTTTTATTTATTTATTTATTGGCCAAGTCACGCAGCATGTGGGATTTTAGTTCCCCAACCAGGGATTGAACCCACCCACTGCAGCAGAAGTGCAGAGTCTTAACCACTGGACAGCCAGGGAAGTCCCTGACTATAGTTTTATACTTTTACCATATATGTATCAATATGTACTGTTCTTTTAAAACTTAGATGTTTTCACAGTATATATACCCCTTGCTACTTGCTTTTTTCATTCAATATTATGTTTTCAAGATTTTACTATGTTGATACATGTAAATCTACTTTATTCATTTTAACTGCTGTAAGGTATTTCTCCATTTCTCTAATGATGGATATTTAGGTCTGTTTCCAATTTTTTGCTATTATAAACAAATTTGCAATGCACATCCTTGTGCATGTATCCATTGGCAAATGTGGGAGATCTTTATAATAAAGAGTATCTTTCTTTGTAGAAGTAGAATTGTAAAAATTTAGAATCAATGTATCTCCAAGTCAATAATTGATCTATTTGATCTCTAAATTATAACAATTTAAATTACCATTAGCAGTGTATGAAACTTTCTGCTCCCTCATATTCTCACCAACTTGGTATTGTTAGACATTTTAGCTTTAGTCAATCTCATTGGTGTGAAATGGTATCGCAATAAGGTTTTGTTTTTTTTAAAAAAATAAATTTATTTATTTATTTTTGGCTGTGTTGGGTCTTCATTGCTGCATGCGGGCTTTCTCTAGTCACGGCAAGTGGGGGCTACTCTTCATTGTGGTGCGTGGGCTTCTCATTGCGGTGGCTTCTCTTGTTGTGGAGCACAAGCTCTAGGCACACGGGCTTCAGTAGTTGCAGCACGTGGGCTCAGTAGTTGTAGCTTGTGGGCTCTAGAGTGCAGGCTCAGTAGTTGTAGTGCATGGGCTTAGTTGCTCCGCAGCCTGTGAGATCTTCCTGGACCAGGGATCAAACCCATGTCCCCTGCATTGGCAGGCGGATTCTTAAACACTGTGCCACCAGGGAAGTCCTCAATAAGGTTTTAATTTGTATTTCCAGGATTACTAGTGAGGCTGAATACCTTTTCATGTTTATGGGCTATTCAGGCCTCTTCTCTTATTTGCTTTTTCTTATCCTTTGCTCATTTTCTATTGGGTTGCTTTTTCTCCTTCTGTCCTTTTCTTTTTGATTTGTAGAAAAATTTAAAACAAAATAACCTATATACAAGTCCTTTGTTATAGCATTATAAATATCTTCTATTCTATAGCTTGATTTTTCTTTTTAACTTTGTTTTTTTGTGCAAGAGCTCCTCCCCCACCATACACACTTTCTTTTTTGTTTTTGAACTATAACACACATAGAGAAAAGAACACAAATCATAAGTATATGGTACAATAGATTTTCACAAAGTAAACACACCCAGGTAACCACCACCCAAGTAAAGAGACAGAGCATCACCAGCATTTGAGACAAGCCCTTCTTATGACCCCTCCTAGTCACTACCCCTCTCTCCTTCCCAAAGGTAGCATGGTTCTTATTTCTAATCTACAGATTAATTTCACCTGAACTTCATGTACATGGAAATAATACAGTTTGTACTCTTTTGTATCTGGCTTCTTTCACTCATCATTATGTGTTTGAGATTTATCCATGTTGTTATGTATAGCAGAGTTGAAGTGCAACTAAGTAACCCAGGCCCCACCCATCTCAACTCTTAATCAGATCAAGGAAATCAACCCCTAAGTGGAGTTTCACAGGAAACTGGGTGTGAGCTAAAAAGCAAAGAAAGATTTCTATGGTCTTGGGTACTTAGATCCCAAAGCCCTGATGAAGGAAGGAACTGATCTCACTCTCAAATATGTGAAATCAGAGGTAAACTGAAACAATTTAAATAAAACTACAACTCATTACAATCCCAGCATAACCCCTAGTTGGACTGAAATGATCTGCCCCTTATCCTAGCTAACAGACAAAGAAAATCGTGTGTTCTCTCTGGGAAAAAAACATTATCTACTTCAGTGTCTACCATTCTTTTAAACACAATGTCGAACATGCAAAGTCATCTGAATAGCACAAGGAATTATAGCCATTATCTTTTAATAACTTTTAGTGGAGTATAATCTGTAAAAATACTGAATCACTATACTGTACACCTGAAATTAAGATAATATTGTAGAGAAACTATAGTTCAATAAAAAATTTAAATATAAAAACTTTTTAAAAATTAAAAACTTAAAAAAAAGTCATTTGAAGCAGATCTACAGATGACCCAGGTGCGGGAATTATAAATTGATTAAAGAATTCAGTGAAAAGATGGACAAAATGGGTGAACAGAAAGGGAATTTTAGCAGAGAAATGGAAACTATAAAAAAGAACACAGTAGAAATTCTAGAACTGAAAAATACCATATCTGAAATAAAGAATTCATTAGATGGGTTTAACATCAGATTGGACACAGCACAAGAAAAGGTCAGTGAATTTAAAGATAGGTCAATAGAAATAATCCAAAATGAAACAGAGGGGAAAAAAATGAAAATAACAGAGCATCATATACCTGTGAAACAATATCAAACTAATCTGAAATACATGTAACTAGAATCCCAGAAGGAGAGGAGAAAGAGAATAATATAGAAGAATAATTTAAGGAGATATGGCTGAAAATTTTCCAAAATCTATGAAAGACATAAACCGACAGATCCAAGAAGTTCAGTGAACCATAAGTTGCATAAGTACAAAGAAGATCCCACCCAGGCACACCTTAGTCAATTGTTGAAAATTAAAGAAAAAAGTTAAAAGCAGTCAAGCAAAAAACACCTTATATGCAGAAAAACAACAAGAAGAATCAAAACTGACTTATCATTAACAGTGGAAGCCAAAAGAAAATGGAATGATGTCCTTGACATGCTGAAAGAAAAAATATAGAATCCTATACCCAGCAAAAATACCCTTAAAAAGTGAAGGCAGGGACTTCCCTGGTGGCGAAGTGGTTAAGAATCTGCCTGCCAATACAGGGGACATGGGTTTGATCCCTGGTCCAGGAAGATCCCATGTCCATGGAGCAACTAAGGCCGTGTGCCACAACTACTAAGGCTGCGCTCTAGAGCCCATGAGCTACAACTAATGAAGCCCACATGCCCTAGAGTCCGCGAGCTGCAACTACTGAAGCCCGCGCACTCTAGGGCCTGCCTGCCACAACTACTGAGCCCGTGTGCCTACAGCCCATGCTCTGCAACAAGAGAAGCCACTGCAATGAGAAGCCCGTGCACTGCAACAAAGAGTAGCCCTTGCTTGCCGTAACTAGTGAAAGCCCGCATGCAGCAACGAAGACCCAACACGGCCAAAAAAAAAGATGAAGGCAAAATAAAGACAAACAAAAACTGAAAGTATTTGTTACCAGTAGACCCACAGTACAAAAAATATTAAATGAAGTACTTTAGGCTGGAGGGATATGATTACAAGCTGAATCCTGGATCTGTGGGAAGGAATGAAGAGCACTGGAGATGGCAAATATATTGCTAACATAAAAGAATATTCTTAAAATTTATTTAAGAGGCTACTGAGTAGGGGACTTCCCTGGCAGTCCAGTGGTTAAAACTCTGCACTTCCACTGCAGGAGGCACAGGTTTGATCCCTGGCCAGGGAACTAAGACCCCACATGCTGCGTGGTGTGGCCAGAAGAAAAAAAAAAAAAAAAAAAAAGACTACTGACTAAAGTGAAAACAATATCAATGAATGGTAGAAATTTAATAGATGTAGAAGTAATAAATATAATAACACAAAAGGCAATAAAAAAGTAAATGACACTGTGTTTTCTGTGAAGTACTTTTGCAAAGTTCTTATGTTGAACATGAAGTGATATGCTATTAATTCAAAGTAGAGTAAGATAGTAAGGATGGGGCGGAGTCAAGATGGCATACTAGGAGGTTACGGAATTCGCATCTCCTCACATCTAGGGCA